TTCTTTCTTTCTTTCTTTCTTTCTTTCTTTCTTTCTTTCTTTCTTTCTTTCTTTCTTTCTTTCTTTCTTTCTTTCTACCTACCTACCTACCTTCCTATCCTATCTTAGATCCATCTTCCATCCATCCATCCATCCATCCATCCATCCATCCATCCATCCATCCATCCTCCCTAACTACATACCTATATGCATGCATATTTTTCTACCTTCCAGTTGTGGTTATTTCTATATTTCAAGCATGGGAAAGAGAGTTTTGTCAGCTTCAAAATCTTGCTGTCCTCCTCCTCCTCCCCCTCCCCCTCCTCCTCCTTCTTCTCCTTCTTCTCCTTCTCCTCCTCCTCCTCCTCCTCTTCCTCCTCCTCCTTCTTCTTCTTCTTCTTCTTCTTCTTCTTTTCCTTCCTTCCTTCCTTCCTTCCTTCCTTCCTTCCTTCCTTCCTTCCTTCCTTCCTTCCTTCCTTCCTTCCTTCCTTCCTCCTCCTCCTCCTCCTGCTCCTTTTTGCAAACCTTCCTAACCGAGGAACGAATCTCCCCGTGCTTCGGAAAAAAAAAAACAAAACCGAAAACCAAAAACAGGCTCAATTAGACCACTTCCTTTGCTAAATTGCTGGCCTGAGTGATTTTTCTCCCTCCTCCACCCCCGTCCCCCCATCCTTCCCCGGTTTATAAATAGCTTTATTCGTTCAGAGTTAGCGAGCAGCCACGGAGGTTCTCCGATTGCCAGGCTGTCTGGGCAGGGGGTTGTGAGCCCCCCCCACCCGCCGCCGCCACCTCCCGTAAACACCGAGTGACAACAACGTCAGGGCGTAGCATCCTTGGATTTGCCATGCCTTGCAGGACAGGTGGATGGGTCTCTGCCAGCGAAGGCGCCTGTCCCTTGGCCTCCCAAAAGAAGGGACGGCATAAAACCTCTTTTGTTCCTTCTAGCAAGCCCCTCGCACCATACCATCGCCGACTGGAGGATGCAAAGCATTGCCCGGGACTCGGACGAGAGCACCGACGAGGAATTCTTCGATGCACACGGTAGGTGGGAAACACACACACGCACACACAAGCACACGCGCACACGCCCCTCCTTTCCAAAGGGGTTGCCTTAGATGGGGAAGGGGGCGGCCTGGGACCTGGCATCGTTGCCCGCGATTCTGGCCGCCTGGGCCGGCGGGCAGCAGCTGTTTGAGGAAGAGAGAAAAGTTGGCGTACCTCGGCTGAAAACTTCGGGGTTATTTTGGCCGCTTTGAAATGGTGGGCGGGCTCTGTTTGGAGGGGCAAGGAGACGCGAGATGTTCGGAGGGACGAAATAAATTAAAACAGAAAGGCGGTGAGAGTTGGCCTTCCCCCTCAACCCACGCCCAACTGGCGGATGATAAAAACATGGTTTAAAAAATAGGTATTTATGCCCTAATTTCTCTCTCCTTCTCTCTCTCTCTTTCTCCTCCTCTTCTACCTTCTCTTCATCCTCCATCTCCTTCTCAACTTTCTCCTCCTCTCCTCTTCCTCCCTTCCTTCTCTCCCCTCCCCCTCTTTCCTCCTCCTCCTCTCCTCCCCATCTCTCCCCTCATCTTCCTCCCCTCCTCTTTCCTTCTCCTTCTCCTCCTCTCCTCCCCACCTCTCCCCTCCTCCCCCTCCTCTTTCCTCCTCCTCCTCTCCTCCCCATCTCTCCCCTCCTCTTCCTCCCCTTCCCTCCTCTTCCTCTTT